CTCCCTTGTGTCCTCTCACCCCCTGGAAGGCCCCGCTGTTCCCTCCGGCCGCCCCCCGGAGATATGGCCATGGTGGCTGGAGGCTGGGGAGACCCGAACGGAGACACCAACGGGGTGGACAAGGGCTACCCCAGGACCTCGGAGGAGGACTCGGTGTCGCCCCAAGGCGGGGCGAGCGACCCGGAGCCGGGGGACGAAGATAAACCCGGCATCCAGGTGGACTGCACGGTGTGCGGGGACAAGTCCAGCGGGAAGCACTACGGGGTCTTCACCTGCGAGGGCTGCAAGAGCTTCTTCAAGCGGAGCATCCGCAGGAACCTGAGTTACACCTGCAGGTAGGGGCACACCTGGTCTGGCTCTCCACCTGGGGCCTGCTTGGGCGCCACCGGGGGGACGAAGATAAACCCGGCATCCAGGTGGACTGCACGGTGTGCGGGGACAAGTCCAGCGGGAAGCACTACGGGGTCTTCACCTGCGAGGGCTGCAAGAGCTTCTTCAAGCGGAGCATCCGCAGGAACCTGAGTTACACCTGCAGGTAGGGGCACACCTGGTCTGGCTCTCCACCTGGGGCCTGCTTGGGCGCCACCGCTAGGAGATCTTAGGACCTCTAGAGGTCATCTAGTCCAGCCCTCACCCTCCTGCCAGGACCGGATCATCCCTGACGGGGCTGTCTAACCTGCCCTGAAAACCTTCCGAGGAAGGAGATTCCACAGTCTCCTGGGCCTGTTCCTTTAGCGGCCGGTTTGGCCCCTTCCCAGGCCAGGCGGGTGATCCCTTGCATGGCGCAGTGTGTGGGGGCAGCTGCTTCCTTGGGGTTAGATTTCCCATCTCCAGCCGGTGTGGCCGCAGATTGATTCCGGGCTGTACCGCCTGGAGTGGGTGTTTAGTATGAATCACTGGCTTCCCCTGCCGAGAGCATCGCTTGATGTGGCGGCGAATTTGAACCCAGAGCACAAATCCCGGCCTGTGAACGGAGCTTGGGTCTCCTTACGCTGGTGCAAATCGGGAATAGTTCTCACATTGGGAGGTGACAGTGACCAGTCGGTGGCTTTGGCCATTCAGGAAAATCTCTTCCAAGGCGGAGAAGTGCACAGGAGGGAGACGTAGACTCCCACGCAGGTCCGGCTTTATAACGAGCGCCAGGCGTGCTTGTAAATCCCATTTTGCCTAATGACACGTGCTAACCGACTTGAGCCGTGGATTCCGTAAGAACGGCTGCCTCCCGGTTCGGGTACGCGAGGGGGTTCCTCTGTATTGGATCTGTCCCAGAAATAGGCGTTGCCCGGCCTGGTCATGGTGGAAGTCATGAGACTCGACCCTGATCAAAGCGTGCATTGTGCCACTGTATTTATCTTGCAATTTCCACCTCACTGTGTTCTCTGTGCGGAGGGCCCAAATTCAAACTGCCCTACATCCCCGTTCATCAGCTCTGTCTGATTTCCTCTTTATTGCCTGTACTTAAGACTGTCTTGTGAAGCTGTCCTTCCAAATCTTGCGTTCCTGAAATGAATCCTGCAGCTGTTAAACTTTGTGCTTTTTTTTGCCCCCTGCACTGTGGGTTTTGAAAGTTTGCGGTGTCCTAAAAACCTACCAGATGTTGGCACCTCTCTGAATTCTGGGCAGGTGGACTCAACACTTTCTGTGAAAATTTGGTCCTGTGTCCTCATCTCTGTTAAATCCGGAGAAGGATGCTTACCTGCTTTGGTAGCTCTCAAAGCACTTTGCAATGAAAAGTGCTAGATAAGAGTTAGGTATTGCTCTAGCTTGAAGACTCGATCTACTGTCCAGTCTTCTCAACTATCAAGGGGACAAATCACAAACCCAAAGAACTTTTTTTTGTTGTTGTTGCAAAGATAGCAAGCATATTGTGTTGCGCAGAAGTTAGGTACAAATGTAGTGAGGAAAGTAGCACAGCTTTCCAGGTTTGGGAACATATTTGGTACAAATGTAGTGAGGAAAGTAGCACAGCTTTCCAGCTAGATCTTCAGGTTTGGGAACATATTCTTTCCGCCTTTTGGCCTTGCCAATTTGCTGCCCAAACTATGCCGCATTCTTTAAACCAGTGGCTCTCGAACCTTTCCAGACTACTCCTTTCCGGAGTCTGATTTGTCTTGCAACGCCCCCCCCTCCTTTCTAGGTCTCACTCACTTAAAAACGATGTGCTTACAAAATCAGACATAAAAATACAAGTGAGGAAAAGTGGCTGACTTTCTCCTTTTTGCCCTATAATAATACAAGACGCTGAGTGGAATATAAATATTGCACTTATATTTCAGTGTCGAGCATATATGGTGCAATATAAACAAGTCATTGTATGAAATTTTAGCTTGGACTGGCTTTGCTAGTGCTTTTTATGTAGCTTGTTGTAAAACTAGGAAGATCTCTGGATGAGACACGTCCCCTGGTTGAGAACCACTGCTTTAAATGGATCTAGGATTTTATCCTGTGTTTGTCACAGTGGTGTCAGAGCACATATGTAGCGGTTAATGTATTCCCTTCCTGTTCCCAATAATGCAGGATGCAATAAAAATGTGAGTTTCTTAGTAACTAGGTCCTAAGTGAGGGCATATGTAGTATTTAATTCTAGCCTGTGTTCCCTTAAAGGATTGACAGCAGCAGCAAAATTGCTCTAATTTGAATTTAAAAAACGGAGCTGGATTCAGTTTAGTTCTTGTACTAAATAATGACACGTCCTAATTGCATAATTAGCACAATCCACGCCTCCTGTGTTTGCACGTTTTCCTATATAGCTCTCTGGGGAAACTTGCTAAGAACACTTGGCCTTCGAGACAACTGTGTGTTTTAAAACAACACAACAAGCTCTTTTCTTTTAAAAAGATGCATCTGAGTTTGTCACTGGGGGCCCGGCTTCTCAGCTGGTATTGATCAGGGTAGCGCCGCAAAACTCTGGTTTTCATCAGGGCGGTCGGAATGGAATTGGACCAAAAGTCCTACTCATGCCACAGTTGGGCTGCAGTGGACTTTGCTGCAGGATTTGGGATACAAATGATTTCTTAAGCCCTAGCCCCCGGGGTTGGGACAGGGCCCTGGGATGAAGCTGTGATCTGCGGGTTGGATTTATCGCTGCTCCACGAGAATAACTTTCTCAGCAACACATTTGAAATGTGTGAAACACAGCGGTGAGGTTCGGGGTAAATGAATTCCAGTTTTGAGCGGCTGCTGAATCCCTCGGTGGCTTTCCTCTGGAGTCATGTAAAAATTAGGCGGTTTGTGTCAGGATTGCAAGGTATAATCAGATGCTTTTACTCACGCTGGCAACAGGGGGGAATTCTTTGCAGGTTGGCTGGGCGCTGTACCTGATGTACATTTCCCTCCCCCCGCCTTTTACTTGATTGTGCATTACTTTACATAAGAACGGCCATACTGGGTCAGACCAAAGGTCCATCTAGCCCAGTATCCTGTCTGCCGACAGTGGCCAGCACCAGGGGCCCCAGAGGGGGTGGACCGAAGACAATGATCAAGCGATTTGTCTCCTGCCATCCCTCTCCAGTCTCTGACAAACAGAGGCCAAGGACACCATTTCTATCCCCTGGCTAATAGCCTTTTATGGACCTAACCTCCATGAAATTAGCTTCTCTTTAAACTCTGTTATAGTCCTCTGGCAAGGAGTTCCACAGGTTGACCACACGCTGTGTGAAGAAGAACTTTCTTGTATTAGTTTTAAACCTGCTACCCATTTAAACCTGCTACCACTTGGCTAGCGATCCCTTTGAAAATACAAAGTCAGAACCAATCCTGTGCTTTTTCGTGTTCCTTTATACCAGCGGTTCTCAGCCTTTTTTGTACTGCGGACCGGCAAACCCATTCAGAAACTTTTGGCAGACCAGCATCGTTTTATTTTCATATTTGCATATTCATTATGCAAATAATGAACATGCAAATACATATCCCAGACCTGGCCCTCAGAGCCGCTATGAACAGCTGGCTTCAGTTTCAGCAGCCGCCCGCCCTGCGTCTACCCCAGCCCCATGGGTGTGGCCCGGCAGTGTGCCGCAGCCCGTCAGTCAGGGGTTCGTGGCCCGGCACCGGTCTGTAAATCAGTGGTTGGGAACCACTGCTTTATCCCATCCTCGTTAGGGATGTTGAACTAACCGTTTAACCGATAAACGGGTGCTGATCAGTCAACGGTGTCAGTTATACTCTGGGAAGCTGCCTCCCTCAGTGCCCGCAGTGCCTGTAGTTTTTCCAGCAATTACACGGTTCCCCCATGACACGATTTTTAACGTCCCTCCTCATCATGGCTCCCTCTCGTTCCCCTTGAGAAACTCAGGGGCAAAATCTCAAACACTCAGTGCTCACAGTCCGGGGCAGATTTTCCAGATCTGTTCCAAAGACCTCCGCATGCAGCATGCCCGGCTCCTTCGAAAAAACAGTGGCTTATTTTGCTGCCTAAATGGAGCAGAGCCCTTATGAAATCCAGCCCCAGAGGGGCGACCGCCGTGTCCTACTTAGGCAGGAACAAAGCTCAAGGTAGCAATGTGCAAAAATAGTTGAGGACAATGGGCGGGAACTCCCCCTGATTGTCCTGTGATCAGCTGGGGGGAGTAGTTGATTTGGATCGTGAACTCCAGAGCAGACTGTGGAGAGCTTCGAAAGGATCGCACAAAACTCGGGGACCGGCCACAAAATGACAGATGGATTTGAGTGTTGATAAATGTAAACGAATGCACGTTGGAAAACACAATGCCAGCTGCATGTATCGTTCTGAATGAGCTGTTCCCACTCCAGAGAGAGATCATAGAATAATAGGACTGGAAGGGACCTCGAGAGGTCATCGAGTCCAGCCCCCCACCCTCAAGGCAGGACCAAGCTCCGTCTACACCATCCCTGACAGATGTCTATCTAACCTGTTCTTAAATATCTCCAGAGAGGGAGATTCCACCACCTCCCTTGGCAATTTATTCCAATATTTGACCACCCTGACAATTAGGAATTTTTTCCTAATGTCCAATCTAAACCTCCCCTGCTGCACTTTAAGCCCATTACTCCTTGTCCTGTCCTCAGAAACCAAGAGGAACAAATTTTCTCCTTCCTCCTTGTGACACCCTTTTAGATATTTGAAAACCGCTATCATGTCCCCCCTTAATCTTCTTTTTTCCAAACTAAACAAGCCCAGTTCATGAAGCCTGGCTTCATAGGTCATGTTCTCTAGACCTTTAATCATTCTTGTCGCTCCTCTCTGTACCCTTTCCAATTTCTCCACATCTTTCTTGAAATGTGGCGCCCAGAACTGGACACAGTACTCCAGCTGAGGCCTAACTAGTGCAGATCTTGGAGTTACTGTGGATTCCGTGTGCGGCAGCAGTCAAAAAAGGAAACAGGATGTTAGGAATCATTAAGAAAGGGATGGAGAGTAAGATAGAGGATATCCTCTATCTTCTTGCCTCTGTATAAATCCATGGTGCTCTCACATCTTGAATACTGCATACAGAAGTGATCGCCTCCTCTCAAAAAAAGATATATCGGCATTGGAAAAAGTTGTGCAAAGGGCAACAAAAATGATTTAGGGGTGGGGAATTGGCCGCCCTGTGAGGCGAGATTAATAAGACTGGGACTTTTCAGCTTGGAAAAGAGACGGCTAAGGGGGGAATTCCATAGAGGTCTATAAAACCATGACTGGTGTGCCTGAAAGTGAATAAGGAAACATTATTGACTTGTTCCCATCACACAAGAACTAGGGGTCACCCAATGAAACGAATAGGGGGCAGGTTTAAAACGAAAGGCAGTATTTCTTCATGCAGCGCACAGTCAACCTGTGGAACTCCTCGCCGGAGGATGTGGTGAAGGGCAAGATTTTAACAGGGGTCAAAAAAGAGCTAGATATGTTCACAGAGGATAGGTCTATCAATGACTGTTAGTCAGGATGGGTCAGAATGGTGTCCCTAGCTTCTGTTTGTCAGAGGCTAGGAATGGGGGATGGGGGGGGGGGGGGCTCTGGGTGATTCCCTGTTCTGTTCACTCCCTCTGTTGGCTACTGTCGGCAGACAACATACTGACTCCCAGCTTAGAATTGGGGGACAGGTGGTGAACTGGCATTGTCCCGGCCTGGAATCCCGCTTGCATGGGTGCAGAGAGGGGTTTCACCCTGGCTACCAGCTGGGAGGGGCTGTCTCCCCTTCCACCCCCTGCCTGCGCCTGTCCCCACGTCCGGAGTCAGAGGGAGCGGAGGGCATGCGACCCAGGGTCCTGGGAAAGCAGTCACCAGGTGCAATGGGCCGGGATGATTCTCGCCCTGTGGTTCACGTAGCAGGGCCGCTCACCGATCCGTGTGTGCTGGGAAGAGCCGTGACCCCTTCCCCTCTGCGGCCTGGAACCGGGCGCTGATGCGCTGCTAGGAAATAGCTGGAATTCTTCAGGCGTCTGGTGAAAAGGGGCTGGGAACAAAAGGATGGCTGGCTCAGCTGTTTCCAGTTTCACTCCACTGCCCCCTCCGTGCTGGGAAGGCCCAGTGGGAGGAGAGGTTTGGGGGGGGGGTCAGACCCTTTCCCGAGCTATGGATCCGGAGGCATGCCAGGCGAATTCGCCCTGTGGGTTGACCCCTGATTCCGGCAAAGCCCTCGAGTGCTTCCGAAAGGCAGCACAGCTTGGCTTTTGGGAGGTGGGGGAGGAGAGCTTGGCCGGGGGCTGGGCCTCTTCTGGGGTGGGGGGTTAATTTCATCCAGGGGTCGCAGTCGTTGCCGGCACAGCCGTTTGGCAAGGCCGGCTTTCTGCGGTATGCGCTGTATCTGGTGCAGGGCGGCCCCGGTTTCTGCCGCAGCAAGGGGGCATCGCTCAGAGCGACCCCGGTCCACGCCGAGAAGCTGCGGCTGATGCAGAGGGGCTGGGAGAAACCGGGGCTCCCTGCCACCCCGTGCGGCGTGTGGCTCTGTCTCTCGTCCCCAGGGTGCACGGACGCTTCGGGAGCCGAACATATTGGGGCGGACAGTACAGCGCCCGGGCCTCTGTCTGCCTGTCACGGGCGCTGTCCGGCCCTGTCACTTTCTGGTGCGGGGTGTGAAAAACCCACCCTCCCGAAAGCGCAGCGGCTCACAGTGCTGTAAAGGCGCCAGGCTCGTGGAGGTGGTTCACGTGGCGCGCTGGGAGACCTCTCCCCCAGCGTTCGTGCCGCGACCCCCGCTTTCCGCTTGAGAACATCGGAACGGCCAGACTGGGGCAGACCAAAGATCCATCCAGCCCGGTGTCCTGTCTGCCAGCAGATGCCCCAGAGAGAGGGATCACAACAGGGAATCCTCACGTGATCTCTCCCCTGTCACCCGTTTACAAACAGAGGCTGGGGACACCATTCCTACGCATCCTGGGCATTAGCCACTGATGGACCTAACCTCCATGAACTTATCTAGCTCTTCTTTTAACCCTGTTAAAGTCCTAGTCTTCACACCATCCTCTGGCAAGGAGTTCCGCAGGTTGACAGCCACAGCTGCGCTTTATGCTTTTAAGTGTAGGCAAAGCCTCAAACGCTCCTCTGGCTCCCATTCATGGCATATTTGGGCTTTTCAGACACTCTGCTGTATTTATCCTCCCCAAACCCTTGTGTGGCAGGGCACGGTTATCCCACAGGGTGGGGAAACCGAGGCACAGAGTAATAACATGACCCGGCTGAGGTCCCACAAAGGTGTCTGTGACTCGGGCCTCAGCCTTGTGCCCTCTGATCCTTTCCCTCCTGCACTGTACAGATGATACACGTCTCCTACAACCTTCTCGTCCCCAAAGACCTAGTCCGTGGCCCCGGGCTGGTCCCTTCCCTCCCCCTTGCAATCGGTGTGTTGTCGTCTGCTTTGCACACAGATCTAACCGCGACTGCCAGATTGACCAGCACCACCGCAACCAGTGCCAGTACTGCCGCCTGAAGAAGTGCTTCCGCGTGGGCATGAGGAAAGAAGGTAAGCTGGCCGGTGGCTTTGCTTACCGGGGTCCCGGGGTTGAGATGGCGCTTGGCCGATACCCAGCTGGCGTAGGGGCAGGCGGATGCATGCCCACCTGCTTAAAAACCAGTGCGGACGTTGCAGCGTGGTTAGCCGCCGGCGTACAACCTCCCTGACCCATCCGGGGCCGGAGCTTGTCTGGCAAGCCCATCTACCTGGCTCGCTCCCAGAAAGGGGGGTCACTTACAGCAACCCCCGAGCTGCTCTCTTCACGCCAGCTCTTGTCCGTGTGGCGCGGCACCCTCCGTAGTCAGCTACAGCCTCCTGCGCGGGTCGTTTGCCACGCACAGAGGGCAGCGGCGTGCCCAACTCTCAATGGATGCCCATGGGATTCAGGCACCTAATGCTTGGAAACCGCCCCCTCTCCCCCTCCCGGACACGTTCTAGGGAGGGTTAGAAACTCCGGGCCTGATCTCTGTCGTGCCTGCCTGGCACTGGGGCGGTGGAAAACCTCCGGCTTCCTCTCCCCGTCCCGGACACGTTCTAGGGAGGGTTAGAAACTCCGGGCCTGATCTCTTTCGTGCCTGCCTGGCACTGGGGCGGTGTCAGTGGGAGACTAGAGCCTGCTGGGAAATAGGTTTAGATCAGGGGTTCCCAAACTTTGTGATACTGCGACCCGCCCATGTTGTTAGCGACCCCCCGGGGGATCGGGACCCACAGTTTGAGAAACGTGGGTTTAGATGTTTAATCGGCGTTAAAACCAGCCCTGGACGGGGAGTGGTGGTGGTTAGGAGAGTCAGGGCTTCGCTTCGTAAGTTACACTCCCCCCCATTCCTCTTACAACTGACACCAGCTCAGAGTTTTCCCCCATGCGTAGCTCGGGCATTGCTGACGGGCAGGCGGAAAGTCTGATCTAAAACCTTTCTGCTGCTTCGACGCCAGCCAGACTCCTTTGTGCGCCAAGGACACCTCTGGCCCTTCCCATCAGGCCTCCTGGACTGCACCTTCCACCCGCGCAGGGGTGGGGTCTGGGAGCAGCCAGAAGTGTCTCCGTGAAATCCCAGGCTGAAGGCAGAATATAAACCCAGCCCTGCCCTTGCTGAGTGCCCGGGGCGGCTGGCGTACCAGTCAGGCAGGTGGTGTTTGTTTGGAAAGCCGGAGCCTGGGCTAGATTTGGTGACTCACCTGGAGCCTGGTGCCAGACCACCTGACCTAGCAGCTCAAAAGGTCGCAGATGCAAACGGAGACAAACTTGGGATCCTTTGCTGTTCCAATATTGACTCAGGCGCATTTCTATGGCGGGGGGTGGGGGAGGGCGTACAACGCAGCAGATGGCATCGGCGGCTGTTCTCTTCCCCTTGGGCGTCAGTTTGCCCCAGCAGGAGAACCCAGAAGGTTTTGTAGCATTTCTCGGGAGTCCGTTTCCCCGCTTTTCAGAGGCGGAAAGCAGCGGGGAGGTCTTGTCACTTGGCGTCTGGCTCTTCTTAATGCAGGGGTCCCGCTTGGATCAGGAACTCCCCTGTGCCGCGTGCCAGAGGCAGGCAGCAGGGTGGAGAGATGGCAGATCCTTTTCTGTGGCACACAGTTGGCTGGGGGCACCGATTGCCACAAGACAGCACTGACACCTAGCGTGGCGCCGAGTTGTTTTTAAGCGAGGCGGAACGTTTCTCTGGAGAGTGAGAACCTCCAGCGTGGGTTTGGGCAACATCATGGCTGTGTCTAGACTGGCAAGTTTTTCTGCAAAATCATCTGCTTTTGCGGAAAAACTTGCCAGCTGTCTACACTGGCCGCTTGAATTTCGGGAAAAGCACTGACGATCTCATGTAAGATCATCAGTGCTTTTCCGGAAATACTATGCTGCTCCTGTTTGGGCAAAAGTCTTTTTCCGAAAGACTTTTGCGCAAAAGGGCCAGTGTAGACAGCACAGTCGTGTTTTCTGCAAAAAAGCCGCGATCGTGAAAATGGCGATCGGGGCTTTTTTGCGGAAAACCACGTCTAGATTGGCCACGGACGCTTTTCCGCAAAAAGTGCTTTTGCGGAAAAGCATCCTGCCAATCTAGACGTGCTTTTCCGAAAATGCTTTTAAGGGAAAACTTTTCCGTTAAAAGCATTTTCGGCAAATCATGCCAGTCTAGACGTAGCCTAAAAGTACCTAGGAGCTTGGGCGTGGCCACACATCACCATGCTTCAGGGCAGAAACCAGTGGTGGTCAGGAAGGAATTCTAGCTTGCCCCATAATTATCCGCTGCTGTGGTTCTTGTGCCTTCCTTTCAAACAGCTTGTTTTGGCCACTGTCTGAGACTCCTGGACTCCGTGGACCTGGAGACGGATCCTGTCTAGCCATTCCTAGGAACCAAGAGTTATAATCTTCATAACACTCGATGGCGGGAGGTGTTATGCAGACCAACAGCTACCTCAGTCCCGGTCCCAGGTTCCCCACCCCGCTCCTCGTGCAACGTTAACCCCCGTGCACGGTGAAACACTAGTAAAACACAGTGGATGTTCCTCAGGGCCGTTTCACACTCCGTTGCCGTGTTGTCAAACCACAAGGTGCAAAGCTGGGGCATAAGGTGTCAGAGAGGGTGTGATGAGAGGCAGGCGTGGGAGGAGGGGCGGAGAAGGACGTGTCACGGCGTGAATAGAGTGTAGCAGACCAAGGGGATGGGTGTGTTCAGTTCACCGCTTGTGTTTTGCTTGACATCGGGCGGAGTTCATGTAAGTGACTCTCCTCCAGCACTTTGCATCCCTCGATCTCCAGGTGCCATCCGTGGGAGGGCAGGATCTTTCTCCCGCTCTGTGAAATGGGGAAACTGAGGCACTTCCCCACGCTCTACCTGGGACTAGAAAGAGAGGGCCGAGAATTTCGTAGTGCCTCTCCCCTGGGCTCTGAAGGTCTTTGCCACGCAAAGCAGGTTTCCAGTAGCACTCGGTGCCACAGCTTCAGAGGGAGTAGCTCTGTGGAAAACCAGGGAGCTGTACTGGTTCTGCCGGCTGACGAGGGAGCCCCTTGCTTCTGATTTTCGAGTCCTGGGAGAGGACAGATCATTTGCCTGTGTAAATAGGACTGGCCCCTTGGGAGTTCTGATCCAGCCGCTGGACGGGTGAGTGAAGGGTCCATCTGGATCTGTCTTACAAGCTCTTGGATTGCTCCAGGCTAGAAATTCGGGGAGAGGGGGGTTCAACTAAATCTGTGGGTGGAAAGGAGCCAGCGCTTCCCACAGAGGTGTGTAAGTCAGACGCTCCGGCATTCAGGAAATCTAGGGCTTCTCTTCCTGGCTCTGCCACTGGTCTATTGGGTGACCTTGGGCAGGTCCTTTTCTCCATGCCTCAGTTTCCCCATTTGAACGCGATTTGTGCTCGGCTGATGGAAAGCCCCGGGGGGAAGCGAAGGGTAATTTCAGCTGCCTGCATATGGATTGAAGCACCCAACTTTAAATACCCGCGCTCGAAAGTCGTGCCTGTTCCGGGCAGTGAGCGAGGGCGCGGAGTCCCTCTGCGGTTCGGCTCGCTGTGGCGCATTTGTGTCTCGCCTGGCGGTGGGAGCCACGTGAGGAGCAGAGGGAAGGGCGATGAGGAACAGGGCCGAATTTTTTCCTCCCCGGGGAGTGGATTCCGTGGTTTGGTCACTTGCTATGACTTAGAGCTGTAATGTCAGTGCTGTGAGTACAGTGCATTGCTGAATATCCGGCAGGCCGAGCAAACAGCAGGGGCTAATGGGGGCTGGAAAATGGCTTGCTTAGCATGCCGGGAGGAGGCGGGGCCGCGCCTCCAGGGCTCACACGGTTAGGGAAGATGGATGTTTCCAGTGCAGAGAGGTGATTGCTGCCAGAGAGTGACCTTGGCTACAGAGCCAAGAGGAAGGGGGCGGGAGTTCGAGGCTTCATGTTGCTGCTTGGGGATTAGACACCGGGACTCGGTGCAGCTAGGAATCCCGCCTACAACGGGAGATGAAATCCGCTGTCCCCGAGACGGGCGTGGGCCAAGATTTGATGTATACATTGAGGCTGGGTTCCTTAACCCCACTGCAGCCCCATGGGGCTGGTCTCTTTGTTTGTCTCGGGGGAAGGAAGGGGGGCTCCTTTCCCTTGGTCCCTCACGTTTTTGGCCTAGCGTTTGTGCTACCGCCAGACCTATCCTCCAAGCTTTAAATGCTCCAGAAGGGCCCTGGGGGCCGGCAAATCTCCGCCAGGGTCCTTCAACGCCCTTCCCTCCAAGCCCTGGGGCCGTGGCTTATCAGCGTTAGGCATTAGCATGCAGGTAGTTAGGCATTGGGGCGGGGCGATAGCGTGTGTAACTGGCCAGGTGCAGGTGGGGTGCTGCTCCAAGGGCTGGATAACAGCCCGCTACTGATACCAGCCGAGGGAGCGACCCTTTGAGCGCTGTGGTGCCGAAGCGCACCCTGCTGGCAACCCTTGTGCGAGGTGTCCTAGCCCTGCCCCAGCCGATTCTGGATATCGGTGGGCCTGGCTCTGCCAGGGAACTGCTGGCTGCCCCTGCCCCGTGCCTCAGTTTCCCCAGTTTGCCTGTTCGGCCTGCGAACTCTTTTGACGTCCCACTCCAAGCCTGTTGGAATCTTTCGACCCAGCCGTAATGCCAACAGCCTCCCCTGCCTCGTGTGCGAGCAGCCTCCGGGGTGGGGCCTGGCCGGGTGGGCGCTGACCTCTCCTCTCGCTCTCTTCCAAGCTGTCCAGAGAGGCAGGATCCCCCCCAGCCACGCCAGCACCAGCCCCACGGCCATGCCCAGCGGGGAGTATTTCAACGGGCAACCCGTCTCGGAACTCATCTCCCAGCTGCTGCGGGCCGAGCCCTACCCGGCGGCCCGCTACGGCTCGCAGTACGCCCAGCAGGGCAGCGTGATGGGCATCGACAACATCTGCGAGCTGGCGGCCCGGCTGCTCTTCAGCACGGTGGAGTGGGCCCGCAACATCCCCTTCTTCCCCGAGCTGCCCGTCTCCGACCAGGTGGCCTTGCTGCGGCTCAGCTGGAGCGAGCTCTTCGTGCTCAACGCCGCCCAGTCGGCCCTGCCGCTGCACATGGCCCCGCTGCTGGCCGCCGCCGGCTTCCACGCCGCCCCCATGTCCGCCGACCGCGTGGTCTCCTTCATGGACCAGATCCGGATCTTTCAGGATCAGGTGGAGAAACTGAACCGGCTGCAGGTGGATTCGGCGGAGTACAGCTGCCTGAAAGCCATCGCCCTCTTCACGCCAGGTGAGTGGCAGGGGCCTGAGAAAGCCAGGCCCGGCCCCCACCAAGGCCCCCAACATGCCGAGGGCCGCAACTTAAGTAGGGTTGCAGATCCATGCAAATATATATGCAAATCTATGCAAATAGTTTCTTTCACACTGACTGGCATGAAGACAAAGATTAAGGCAAGACGACACAACACGCAGGCCCCGTTTAAGTCCGTTCTGCTGATACTAATCAAATGCAAAAAAGTATCTGCTTTCCACCCCCCTAAGACAGCACTTTTAACGAGCAATGACAGTCCAGGAATTTAACTACTAACCTGCATCTCAACAGAAGACCATTTTAGTGACTACTTTCTTGTTTTGAGTTCACAACAGTACAATACTAAAACACATATCAACACGTGAGATTCCCAACAGCCGTGAGGCACCTAACTCCCTCAGTCCTATTAAAACTCTGACACTTAAGTGACTTGCCCCTGGCTCCTTGGAGAATCAGTGGCAGAGCCGGGCCAGGGAACCTGGTCTCTTGCGGACCATTTTTGCTGCAAGAAAAGAATAGTGCAAGTCATATCGAAGCTTCTCCCATTGTCACCAAATCACCTTAATTGTCCATGTGTTTAAGAGATGCTTCCTTTACTGATCGGAAAGGAGACGGCCACCGTGAGACACCCTTGAAGTCCAAGATCAGGCCGTAATTCTGTGCTGAATCCGATGCTGGCTTAGCCCACTGGGACACGAAACCCACCTGTCCCTGCCGCAGGGATCGGCCACATAACAAGGGGCGCACTCTGCTGCTTGGGAGAAACGGGGCTTCCTGCTGGAAAGCAGCACGCAGACACCTGTGTCCCTGCCCAGTGCTCCTGTCCTCAAAGCCCAGAAGCCCCACCCCTTCCTGGGGCACAGAGCCCCCCTCCTCCCACCTTGCCCAGGGGCCCAGTGAGACTGTCAGTCCCCAAGCGTAGATCTAGAGAACAAGGCTGATCCAATGTTTCGGGAGCAGCAACGGATACCTGAGCTCAGTTCCTTCCTCTGCCACTGATTTCCCTGCATGACCATGGGCAAGTCACTTTGCCAGCCGGGTTTTGTCCTTCAGTCCTGTACCACGGGGACAACAGCAGCGCCTCGCACCCAGCAGAGCTGTGAGGATACAGGTATTAAAGCTGGTGAGGCATGTGTGTTACAAAAACACTGTCCAGGTAGCCAGATTAGCAAATGCTGGGTGGGCAGGTTCTGGGTGGGCGGGTTCTGCTGGGCTTTGCAGCTCTCCCAGCAGCTTGGTGCCAAGTGACTCGCCTCCAGGACATGATCCGCAGCCCATTTCCCTGGCTGTGCGCAACGTGGGGATGTTGCGGTGACAGGCACAGCTGGGATCTGCCAAGGGGCTTCCAGCTGATGTAATCTTGGGTCCAATTTCCTCCAGTGCTCAGAAGGATTTAGGTGCGTGTGTGTGTGTGTGAGATCCCCTTTCCAGCTGATGTGATCCCTTGGGACCAAAAAGCTACTCAGTGACTGTGGAACCCAAGTCATGTGATGTTTCCATGGGATTTAGGGTTAAACGTTCCAAAGCTCCTGCCTAAAAGCAGAGGGCCCCCTCCTTGCACATCCTGGGAGCCCGGTGACGTTCCCGCAGGCTCCGTGGGGCGCACGTACTGTTAAAGCTGCAGACTGTCAATTGGAACTGGTTCACTTAAGCTCAGTTAAAGAGCCCTTGTGCTAAGAATGGGAAGACTCATATTAATTATTACTGCAGCACAGCACAGAAGGTCTGTGCCTTTAAGAGCCATTCCGACCGCCAGCCACGCGATCCGGTTGGCGTGTGCATCCAAGGTTGGGTCCCAGGGGTGGAGGCTAGCGGAGAAATTGGGCTTTTACCACGGCCTGGTCTGCCGTCTCTTCCTCCTTCCTCAAGGGAAAAAAAAGACACGATGGCCCTTTAAAGGACGGCTTGCCAGAGCAGCCTGACAACTTTGAATTATAAGTTAATCACCAATTATAGCTCGTCAGCCAATCAGCTCCCTCTGCCGGCTAAAGGGACTTCCTGGCCTCTCCCAAATCGAATTTTAGGAGGGGTAGTCTGGGTTATTAAACTCATTCGTGCTGCCCCCTTGTGGTTGAATGAAGGACCTGCCGGGCTTTTTGTAAGAGTCCATTTGCCTGAGGGCTGGACAGCAAAGGACTTGACTTGAAAAGCAGGACCCCCGAGTCTAAAGGCAGCTGCAGAAGGCCAGTGATTTGATTTAATTAGGAAAGTCACGGTAGCCAGAGATGGAAGACGGGAGAGGGGGTGGGAGAAAGGAATGATTGAAGACCAATGTTGCCTCGAATCTTTTCCATCCATGTATGGAATAATTTTGTTTGTTGCACCGAGGCATGCGCAGATGTGCACCACCCGAGAAACACAAACCTAGCGGTGGGCGCTCTGTGAATCCGCACTGAAATCTCCTCTTAGCGGCTGCACCAAGTGCACGGGGAACACTGTCTACTCGCACCAGTCAGAAACAAATATAATACAAGGCGATTTCCTCTCTCCTGCCCGGCTGCACAAGGCACAAAGAGCCCTCGCCGCTGGGCGTCTCAGAGCTAGTCAGCCTGACGTCGCATGCGACGGAGATGCACGCTTCGCTCTCCGGAAAAAAGGCCTGATTTGTGTCCAGAGATGCCCAACTCATGCAGGCCTGCTGCGGCTTAGGGCTGCGATGGATCCTGTCCACCTTAAAACCAGGCCCCCATGCGGGTGTGTCTTCATCGGGAGCCACTCTCGCTACAAAGCCCTCCCCGAGTTCCTGTGTCCTCACGGAAGTTGTGCCACCCAGTGTGTTGCGACAACATTGGGGGGGTGTTGCCCGGCTCATTGTGTTGCAGTAAACTGAGCTGAAGGAATTGTGGGAAAACTTGTCGGACCCAGTGGGGAAGCGGGGGGAGGGCATTGGAGGAGAATCATCGCTCAGCTGGTGTGAGCCCATGTCCTTGCTGCCAAGCGGGTGGGTTACCAGTGCCCAGGCTCTCACCCAGCCCTCCAGCGGGGCCACGTAGCCTGGGGTTGAAAGCGGCGCCAGACCAGGGTGAGAGCGTTGTGTGTGTGTGTGTGGCCCTGTGTTCCCGGTAAGCTGGGCGTTTCGGCAGCCCCCCAGGAGAGATTCAAATGCCACTAGCAGGGCGCCCGCAGCCGGCAACGTGTGCGTATCGGTGGTGCACATCCGCACAAGCCTGGGTGTACCGACAGAATGTATTCCGCACATTCCCGGAAATGTTGGTGTGGGCAGCCGGGGGAATTGGGGCAGGACGGGTGCAAGAGCCCAAGTTAACCTTGCTGTGAGAGACAGTCCTGCTTCATCCCCCCTGCACCTGGCAAAGCAGGCGGGTTTTGCTCTGGCGTGAGCGGCTGCAGAAGGTGCAGGGCGATTGAGGCACTGGCTATCGCGGGCGTCCTTTGCCATGGAGCTGGGAGAGCCGGTGGCCACCCTGCTGCTCTTGTCGCTGCTGCCTATCTCTCCGTGCGCTGCTGATCCCTCCCCCCCCCCCAGCTCTAGGTTTGATTCGGGGTCACGCCACATCACGCGTGGGAGGAGGTGCCGTTTGCCCTGACAGGGCTCCGTCATCTCTCTTCCCTGCTAACGATTCTCCCCCCCTTCCGCCTTTTGCAGACGCCTGCGGCCTCTCGGACCCTGCGCACGTGGAGAGCCTGCAGGAGAAAGCGCAGGTGGCCCTGACGGAATACGTCCGCGCCCAGTATCCGTCCCAGCCCCAGCGCTTCGGCCGACTCCTGCTGCGGCTCCCGGCCCTCCGGGCGGTGCCGGCGTCGCTCATCTCTCAGCTCTTCTTCATGAGACTGGTGGGGAAGACGCCCATCGAAACACTAATCAGGGACATGCTGCTGTCGGGGAGCACGTTCAACTGGCCGTACGGCTCGGGGCAGTAAGACGGCAGGAACGCTCCCCTCCTGGGTCCAGACGCAGCTGGGGACTGCCAGCCCGTTTCCCTGGAAACCACTTGCCCGGGTCTTGCTCCTCGCGCCCTTCCCCGAGCGGTTCCGGCCAGGCTCGGGCCCGCACGGTTATTTCCAGGCCGGAATCGCGGCAAAGTTAGCGACTCGCCCGGGTGTTGCCCGTCCGTGCCACCAACCCCTTCTCTCGGCGCTCTGGACAGACGAGGACTGGAACCAAGCAGTCGGTTCGTGCGGGTGGGATTGGAACTCCCCCCCCCCATTTCGAACCCTCGCTGGGGGCAAGCCGGGCTCGGAGGCCTGCCCTGGCGCCCTGGACAGCGGCCGTGGGAAGTGGCTGGAGGTGATTCTGCGACTCTGCCGTTGTCTCTGGGCTAATGTGCGGGGACCAAAGCCTGCTCCGTCTGCAGTCTGTGTGTGAGCGGACGGGTGTGTCTGCCAACGCAGCCGGCGGCCATCTTGGGCTATAATTTGAACCCTGGGAATGAGGACGGGGAGAGCGAGGGGCCCTGTCCTCTAGCCTCTGGCAGACAGCTGTAGGGAATAGCGGAGCCGTGCACCGTCCGATGGCTCTGGAAGGAGGAGGAAGCCGCAGGCTCCGGAGATGAGCCAATTTGTGGTGGGGAGGGAAGGAAGGGGTTGCGTTAGGCCTTCGCGTGGGTTCTTGCATCGTTCCAGCTTTCGGGGCCCCAGGGACCACTCTGCTGTATCTAAGCTGCTGTCATACCTGCGGGGATGAGGTAGAAGTTTGCTGCTGGCCACGTCTGAGCCAAGCCACGGGGCTCAATAGGCCACGGGTCAGATCTGGTCTGGCTGTCCATGGAGTCAGAGCTCCCAGACTTGGGCGCTTTGACCTGCCTGCTTCCCTCGCCTCCTGTGGTGATGCTTCCCTGCTGCTCAGCCGGAATTCACCTGGGCGTTAGGGGCACGATCCCTGGCCCGGTGCGTGGCAGCGTGTCTGGCTGTGTGTGTGTTTCTGTACTTGCAGCTGGCTTCCCGCCTCCCCCGTTCATTTCACCACTCAGCCTGTGTTTTACTTCCCCCCCGCCCCATGCCTGGGATCTTCTCGGGGAGAGTTAGCAGCCGGTTTACGTGGCAGACCCTTGTATGTAGGAAGCATCCCCCCCCCCGCCGCCACGC